AGTAGCCTGCAGTGCTGCATTTAACCACTGCGCCACCTCGGCTCTCAATGTGTTATATAGTTTGAAGATCTGAATGAATTTCATAAATTTAAAGGTCCTCAGAACTCTGATGTCCTTTACTAGAGAAACTCTGTTGGGATTCTGGAAATAGATAAATTTAGGGGAAGACTAGGATAATATTGGCTTTAAATTATGTTTCCTCTCCCTCAAATCCAGCTTCACTACTTTCTGAGAAACATCCATTTTAATAACAGTGTGGGAGATGAAATATTTTTTGACAACAATGGAGACTTTGACCCTGGATATGACAACTCCAACTTGGTCACTTTCCACAATAAATCTTTCCAGAGAGTCTGGATTGGAAGGGTGGACTCCAAATCTCCTAAAGGAAAAAAAGTTCACCCTTGATGGAAGAGCCATTGTGTGGAACCCCACATTTGAGCAGGTGGGATATGTTAGGATACACTAATTAAGTAGACCCCTGATGGGGAACCTATGGCATGCATGCCACAGATGCAATGGAAGCAACTGCTCATCTTGGTGGGGTAGCTGTGCTTGCGTGGCCCTGGCCCGAAGCCTCATGACCCTGCACTGGGAGGCCTCCCTAGGTCTCCCTGGCGATAGGTGGTCAGTTACGGGCACTCCTCCAGTCTGGACTCATGCCTTCAAGCCAAGGCTTTGGAGCTCCCAGAATGGCCCAAGTGGCTCCAACTACACCTGGGCTGGTGGAGCACCTACAGACGCCTGCCTGCCGCCAGGGAGAAAGCTGGCAATATCAGGTGCATCCCAGCACAGGTGAGACATGCTTGGATGAGTGGGTGTGTGTGTCATGAGGCTTCGGTCCAGGACAGCATGAACATAGTCGAAGATGGCTGGAGCAGCAGACACTGCTGCTGTGGGTGGAAGTGGAAGGTGTTGGAAGCCTTCTGAAGCCTCTGGAGGGCCTCCAGGGGTGTGTGGGGAGGCTGTTTTCACCCTCCCCAGGTTTCTAGAAAGCCTCTATCCCTTCCCAGAGTTGGACATGAAGTCACAATTTGATGAAATTATTGTGCAATGTAATGAAGGTTCAGATGTCATGTTCTACATTATCTTGGGCTACCTGGGACTTCAAGCTACCATCAGTTTCATTGTGGCTTTCTTTGCAAGGAAATTACCAGACACTTTCAATGAAGCCAAACTGATCACCATCAGCATGCTTGTGTTTTGCAGCATTTGGGTGTCCTTCATTCCAGCCTATCTGAGCACAAAGGGGAAATACATGATAGCTGTGGAGATCTTCTCCATCTTGGCTTCTGCTGCAGGTCTTTTGAGTTGCATCTTTCTCCCCAAGTGCTACATCATAATCCTGAAGCCACACCTTAATGCAAAACAACATCTGACCAGAAGATAATTTAATGGTCAAACCCTATTGGAATCCTTCTTTATTTTTCAGCATTTTCCTGGTGACCCATAGTTTCCATGTGGTTAATCTGACTATTTGAGATGTTTAGACATAAACCTGCAATCAAATTCTTTCCATTTTTCTCAACTTTGCCTGTGTGATGCAGAGCCAGTGTCTTGATTTCTGAGTGGCAGCTCCTACTGTAGCACTTTGTCGGGGTAGAGGGGAAAAGTGTTGCTTTGGCCAAGGTTTTATAATTTTTAATCTTGCTAAGTTTCTTGTTTATATATAATGGAAATTGCTCAGAGTTCCTTTTGACTTGTATAGCATAAAAACAGCAACAAATACACCAGTATCTAAAAAGTGTTTTGCATCAGATGGTTTATATATATAGACTTGTGATTTTTTACTACCTTTTATCCCTTCTCATCCATTCATACTTTTCCAGAAATCTGAGTGTGGGCCCCCATTTAACTTCTGAGGTGCCTTTTGCTATACTATACATGGCATACAATGTGAAAAAATTCAAGCAAGGCACATATAGACAGACACACTGATGTAAATTAATTTAAAATCTGAACATGAAAACACACTTCAGTTGTGGGAATATTCCTGATTCTCATTTTATCTTATACTTTCCAATTAGGTTAATTCTAGGAGTCCAGGAAAATTCCAAAATGGCTTTGATATTTTGCTGTTAGTGATAATTAAGAAGACATTCTACAAAGGCTTGACAACTCCTGCAGCTGCTGGAACACTTGTAAATCTCATATCAACTGATGCTCCTGGTTCGCACCCTCTTCCAGAAGTTAACTAGCTGCAACTCAGCAGAACTCCTTCCTGACTGAAGGGGTGGGTCGACTATGGGTATAGACAAGGTTTTTATGGTACCCAAAGCAGCTTCAAAGAATGGATAACTCCCAACCTTGCCAAGACTTTCTATTTGGCATTCTTTTTTTTTAATTTGGACAATTCTGTTGAGTCATCAAATAATTTCAGGCCGCAGACCAAAGAGGACAAAATCCAATTGAATCCAATTCTTTATTTGCCTGCACCTAATAGACAGAATCTTGCCACACTAAAACTATAACTTTTTAACCTAATAGATATATCCTGAAGAATTCTAGGGTTTGATGAATCCTCCATCTTCATTGAGTTTAGGACTGTGTAGTCTTTTAATTTGGGCTTCACTCTGGAATATACTTCCTCCTCCTTGGGAAAGTACAGTGCTTTTGCTGGAATTACTCCTCCCCACAGCTCCTCTTCCAGATGAATATTCCATCATAGATAATTTAGCAATGAGGGGAGAGCATTTTACATGAAAAGCATTTTTAACCAAACAAATCTCCTCCACCTCTTACAAATTCAATCCATTGAAGCATCTGAATGGGACTTTCAAACACATCCCAAAAAACAACAGTGGGTGGATTTTTCACTATTGGTCAGGAAAGAACTATAGGAGAATCTTGATTGGATTCCACAGTGAGCCACGGGGGCACAGTGATTAGAATTCAGTACTGCAGGCTACTTCTGCTGGCTGCTGGCTGCCTGCAATTTGGCACATCAAATCTCACCAGGCTCAAAGTTAACTCAGCCTTCCATCTTTCCGAGGCGGGTAAAATGAGCACCCGGATTGTTAGGGACAATATGCTGACACTGTAAACTGCTTAGATAGAGCTGTAAAGAACTGTGAAGGGATATATACACCTAAGTGATATTGCTATTCCTTCCCAGTGACAACATTGTGCAACAGTCAAAGGGTTGCATTAATTAATCTTTATTCTCTGACAAGGCAAAGAGTAGCAACTTCGCATATACTAAAACCTCTTTAGACACAAAGGAGGAAATTCCCTGAAAGTTAAATTATTCACTTCAAACACAATGGATTATGCTTTGTATTGCCTTGAACAGCTCAATATTGGACACTGGGATTCTAGGAAAGCAATTCTAAACTCCCTAGAACAATTTCCTCATTGTCAATACAGAGATTTATTTGTTGAATGGTTTAAAAGAAAAAAATAGATGTTGTGTCTTTTACTCTCACATTAATTCTGTTTATATCATATTTAGCATCATTTCAAATTCTCCCTCTCCCGTGGGGTCTTTGACAAAATAGAAGTTTATTCTTCATTCAGCTTGGTCTCACCTATACACCTAACTCTTCCTAAGGTTTATCAGATCTGAGCAAGCATTCCTAACCCTCACACCTGATGTTGAAAAAATAAGGTGCTTATAGTCAGCCAGTATCACTAAACAAAGATATATTGGTTTCAGATGAAACTAATCTTATCAGTGGCTTTGGTTCCCTGCTGTGAACGAATAAAATAATATAATGCATAAACTGGAAAACCTTCAGGAAGAAGTTAAGAGTCAGCACTGCTAAAGCCATGCCATTTATTGACCTTGTGACATCAAATTCCCCTCCTTGGTCAGACAACAGAATCATTGGAAACCACTCTCCACAAAATATTTGTCCCTGCTGTTATGGGACAAATGGAGAGCCAGGCTTCATTAACAATTGAAAAAGAAAAATTCTCAATACCAAAGACAGATTTTGAACAATGCTTTCTTAATCTTAGACCATTTCAACATGATATCCTTTTATTACTCTCATTGAACACTACTAGTCTGTCTCTCCAAAATTCAAATATGTATGAAAGAGATTCTGCTATCATTCAATATGAAACTTAATACTGGGTGGTGTTACAACAGGCAACACAAGAAGAAACTTGGACTTTGACCCCCTGCGTGATATTAGAAAGTGTAGCACACATTTTCAATATACGCATTGTTATGTTGATACATGTCCAGTTAATTCACTGATAGTACCCTTAGATAGCAATAGGAATAGCACATTTGTCTTCTTTAAAAGAGCCATTTGAATAGGGTGACCAGACGTCCCGCATTTGGCGGGACAGCCACGCTTTTTCATGGATTTTCCCGCGTCCCGCAGGGTTCCTTAAAAAACACGCTTTTTTTGGTGCTCGCAGCTCCCTCGCTCCCCCGCCCATCAGCTGCTAGCTTGCTGGGCTGGCTCATCGTTCCATTCTATTCTACAAATTTAAGCCAGCCCAGCCTGCTGCTCACTGATTGGATTGGCCTGGACTCCAGCCAATCAGTGAGCTGGCTGGGATGGAAAATTTTCAGCATGCCGCGTGCTGATTGGCTGGACTCCGCTTAGCTGAACACGCCTGCGCGAGTCTCCATTTCATTTTGTCTTTTGGGGTTGCAGCTGTGCTTACTCACTGGTGAGTAATCATGGAATGGATTGGTACCGGTGGGAATCGGGAGGCGCTGGGGGGATGAGACAACCCTCCTCTCCTTCTCCCCCTTTGCAGAGTTCATTTCACCTCCTCGTGTCACAGCCAGCCCCTGTGCTGCGCTGCCACGGGC